AAAACACCTCCTCGGAACACATCAGTGGCAAAAACCGCATGCTCATCGGCTATAGAAACCATCAGTGGTCGACTTAATGCCTCGCGTCTAATACTAATGTGATGACTAAAGGATAAAGACATGAAAGATCGACTCGTACCCGAGTCAAATAACACCAAGGCAGGCACAAAACTCACAAGAAAAGTACTTATATGCAGCACAGTATAAGCATAAACAAATCTCAAAATAACATGAATAAAAGAGATACGTACTAGCAACAACATCAGGTGCTGCGCGGACCTCCTCTACAGTCAGCTGAAATGATCTCCGACGAGCTCTCGGAGCCTCGACCTTCCCCGAACGACCATCAGTAACACGTAAAGCAGCAGGAGCAGTAGCCTGGGCTGATCCCTGAGTGAGCTGAGGACACTCGGCCTTCTTGTGGCCAGTCTGGTTGCAATGAAAGCAAACCGAAAATCCCTTGGGGCAGTCCCTCGCCATGTGCCCCTCCTTGCCACATTTTTAGCAAGTCCCTGCTCTGCAAGATCCCTCGTGGTTCTTGCCGCACTTGCCACAAGTGCGTCCCTTCTGGCCTCCTGCTCTCGAATCAGCGGGCTTAGCCCGCTGTGTCGCTGGCTGCGACTGCGTTGGTCTCCGATCTCTCCCTGGCTGCTCTCCTTCCTCTCTGGTCTGAATCTCCAGCTCAATCTCTCTCCTCCTGGCATTGGTCTGCAAATCAGCCAATGTCCGATATGACGAGTTCGCCATGAACTCCAGTATATCTCTCCTCACTATGCTCAAATACCGGCTCACACATGCCTGCTCAGTAGACACGTGCTCAAGGCAGAACAACGCCCTCTCATGAAACATTCTCGTAATCTCTGTCACTGACTCTGTCTTCTGCTTGAGAGACAGAAACTCATGTGCCAAACGTTCCCTCTCCACCTAGGGAACATACTCATCTCTGAATAACTTGGTGAACCTTTCCCAAGTCACTGCAGCATGATCTCCAGGGGTAAAATCAGTCGTCACAAACTTCCACCAGTCATTCGCTCCCAAGCGAAGCTGGTTCAGCGCGAACCGAACCCTCGGATGCTCCGAGCATGAACATGTGTAGAAACACCCCTCAATGTCGGAGATCCATCTCATGGAAGCAATCGGGTCCTAGGTCCCGTCAAACTCTGGTGGCTTCGTGTTGCTGAACTATCGGAACAACAACGAGTCACCTCCATGTGGCCTCGCAGCAGCTACGGCTGCGGTGGCTGCAGCAGCAGTAGCCTCCTTGACAACAGCGTATCGCTCATCAAACGTCTCAATCAACATGGTCTTAATAGACCAACATCTCTGGTATAGTTTCTATGATAGCTTCAACTACCTCCTCATGAATGATCCTGTGGATCTCCTCATCACTGGTACCACTGCTCTCGGGGTTGCTGCGGGTAATCATCATAGTGTCTCCGAACCACAAACATGAAAATCATCAGAGACTAGCTCAAGCACTCATGCCATTACCCACCCCTACATGCTCCTTAGTATCCTAAGGTTCTTACTTGGGTCGCCTACGGATCAAGTGTTTTCAGTAGTACGGGCCCAATACTACCTTCCACACCAACCTGTAGTCGTCCCAAGTCCTCCTCCTAGGATCCTAATTCACAAGTATTCTATCCCTCACGGATATCAAACTAATCTCTCGGTAGATTCCTCAATGCTCATCTAGGTATCTCTCCTAGATCACTCAAAACTCTCTCTAAAAGATTCCTGTTATGTTTCCCCTACTCAGTACACATACAGAGCAAATAGCAGATAAGATCAATCAATATCATACCCTAGGCTAAGGCATCATGAATCAGCTTATTGTGGTGGCAATCATCCATTCAAACATTAAAACATATAACAGAGTTAAACAAAGTCTCAAAACATAAACATATCATAAATACAAGTATAATCATGTCGAGCCCTTGTCCTTCTCACAAGAACAACTTGAATTTTTTTATTATAAACATGTAATAAGAAAGCTTAGTGAGTTCCCTAGTATATCATAAATTCCATCACACATGCAATGTATACAACTGTAGGTTCACAATCTCATCGTGGCAACCCCTCTTATTGTGCCTGTAAGCTCATGGTCTAGTTTCGTTCCGCCATCATCCCATAGGACATGTATCGTAGACTCATGAACTCATCGTGACACCCCATCCTATTCGGAATGTAGGCTTACAGTCTTGTTCTGACCCGTCATCCTCCCATAGAACCTGTAGGCTTCAACCATCAATCCATAGAAGACATATGATCTTATCGTACGACCTTCCGATTATCATAACAAACTGATACTCTATTCTAAACACACATTCGTACATTAGCAATATACAAACATCACACCACACAAAGGACATATAATGACACACACAATATAGTGATATAACTCACTTAAAGCTAAAGGTCCAATTCTCACATGCAAGTCTCCATAAGAAAAACAACTAGCACGAACTACTTCATTTTTTCATTAGACACACCTTAGTAACCATTACTAAACAAAAGTCAAACCCCAATCCAAAACTCCATGTGTAACAAATTTGACCAAAAGTCAAACCGAGTAACTGTCACTGGTCAATGGTCAAATCGCCACGATTAGCTCATGGTTGTGACACGCCTAGTACTATCCCAAACAATCGTGAATCCCACTTTCATGTGTGTCCCGACTAAGGGATGTTCGTGTCGTGTCTCCTAAGCAGAACAACCACTTTTGTCAAGTGTTTAATTCATTAAGTCGTGAGCTATAACTTTCTAGACATTATTTGGGAGGTGTATAATGGATAAAAATCCAAACTTTACTAACATGCAAACCCCTAACATGTCAAACACTAACCCTAGATCCAAAACAAGGAAAAAAAATTAAGGCTTTCTTGCATGGTTCAAAGTGAGCTTAACATGCACCTTTTTCACCCGATAGAGTCCAGAAAAACCATCCAAAACAACCTACAAACCTAGAGTTTTTCGAACTCCAAAAATTTCATAGCGAAAGGGATAAAAAATGACTAAAACTCTAGACGTAGAAGCAAAGAACCATAAAGATGCAAACTTTAATACTTACAGAGCAAAATGATAGGATAAGAAGTCAGAAACTCTCTAAGAGGGTGTTTGGATAGGGAAAAAAGAGAGAGTTTATAGCTTATTGCTTATCCCCACCGCTATAAGCTAAGTTTAAGTATTTGGATGAAAACATTAAAAATCAGCTTATTGTGATGGGAAGAATAATCCTTCTAGGTATGCCATCAACATCCAATTACAATTGGTCAAATGAAAACCATTTTGTGAAAATATCATTACAAAGATTATAACTTATACCTCAACTATACCTTTATAATGTTTTATATTTTAGTCAATTTTTTAAATTAATATATATATATATATATATATATATATATATATATATATATATATATATATCATCACAAATTGACATTTTATATAAATCATTACACAAAGCGGTAAGAAAACTAATAAATAAAATGAGAAAATAGCAAGGAAATTTTTATATTATAGAAAATAATTAATTTTTGGACAAATGCTATAAAAGCCTTTAAATTTGTAACTTCTTGTTGGGTTTAGCCAAAGCCTCGTTGTATCTCTATTAATGCTTAAAATTTGCAACTTTTTTTTTTTTTTTTTTTTTTACCCTTTTTATAAATTTTTCCAATAAAACTGAAAGTTTATGACAAACTTAAGGGCTTTAATGAATAAGAAAACCAAAATTAAAGGCTTTTATAAACCAAAAAATAAAAAATAAAAAGGTAAAACCGAACATTTCTGTCAAACATAAATCGTTAATAAACCAAAGGTTAAAATTGATTTTTTTTTTTTTACAAACATCAATTAACAATTTTAATGAACCTAAAATCCACAAAAAGGTTTACAAACTTAAGGGTTTTTATGTCTTTATCCCTTACTTTTTTACTCTAAAGTGATTATACAAAAATATTAAGGTGCTGTTTGTTTTTTCTGAGACAAAATGTATGCAGTCTGCGGACCACATCTGTAGACCTCTGCTGTAGAAGATGTGGACCAAATGTCTGCAGTCTGAAAAAAGAAGACTATTTGTTTTTTTAACATCCGCGGGCTACTAAAATAAACTGAAATATAAATAAACTAATTTTTTTAAACTTCAAAGTGATTATAAAATATTTTTATGACTTTGTTATAAATAATTAATGAATCTAGATCAACTTTTATGTATTATTATATAAAAAATAAAAAAAATGGTATGAATTAACGTATATATTTGATAAAACCAACAACTTTGGTTGCAAAGTTATAACTTAACATTATAATTAGTGATAAAAGAATTTGATATATAAATGGATGGAAATAAATTTCGATTTTTTCAATTAAATCCATTAAAAACGTACCATAAATATTTTTTCGAGAAATTGACGATACTTTATTAAATAATGTTTTACAAAATTTGACAAAAAATTATAAGAATATATTTTGATTTTTTTTCTTCATGTTTATATAAACAACTTCAACGACTATTATTGTAATAAATCTTTATTTATAAATTTGTCAAAAATATCATGTTTGTATCGTCGAACCTTTTTTTTAAGTTTTGTAATTTTTTTCAAATTGTTTATCATTAATAAAGTTGGAAAAAATATAAATTAAAAAAAAAACTTAAAAAAAATAAAGATATATATGTTTTTTTAGGGTAGAAGATGTCTGAAGATGTTAGAAGACTCTGGTCCACATCTGCGCCAAGAAGAGGGCGCGCAGACATTTTTAGGTCTGCAGTCTTCAAAAAAACAAACAATCTGCAAAGGCTAATGTCTGCGCGAAATCTGCAGACAAAAAACAAACACTACCTAAATGTATTAACATGATAATAAGAACATATTGTATGTTTTTTCCAGTTAACCCACAAACATTTGACTTTGTAATATTTCAGAGCACTAAACAACAACAGGTTCGGTATAACAAAACAACCAAACAAGACTTTTTTTTTTTTGGGGGGGGGGGGGGGGGGGGGGGGGGTAACTGGACCTTTCATTTTGATTCATTCGAAAATTTTGTACATACCATGTTTTCATTAATCTATTACATAAAATCTCTCTTTGTGAAACTCAATATACGGATTGTATTTTAGGCTTTCTATATGTATACTTTTCAACAAACAATCAAATTTTATAGTTTATAACGTATGTAAGTATAAAGGATCTCATTCCAAACATCAGGTACACCCGGAAGACACCAATGTGTACAATCTGAATACGGAATCGGATTCGCCAATTCCGATTCCGTTGGAGGAACCCAATGCCTTTTGTAAATAGACGGGTGTCCGTCTTTCCGATACTGTGAAAGTTGTGTTATATTCAAAAGTTCAATCTCTAACCCTTTCTTTTCAAGATCTTGTACTATTGATTGCGCTGTTCTCATCAAATCGGTATCCGTTCCCTTTCCCCAATACCCTTGTTCCATTATCGGCTCCGTTTCATTGAAGCAATTTTCTCCCATCGGTTTTCCCCAATCTCCACCCCTAGAAATAGTTGTCGCAAACGATTAATATGGGTAAAATGGTAAATTCACATTAGCATTTTGTTGAAAAATTAACAAGTAATTGTAATGCGTACTCTTTGTGATCGGGTGAGAGGCTTATGAAGAACATTTTTGTCTTGGTGCGGTTAAGGTGAGTGTCCAACCAATTCGACCATGTTTTTAGAGCCATCTCGTATCGCCTTACCCTTCCGGATTCTATTGAAGTTCTATTAGGATTTTCAAATGATCCCCACCTAAACATGAAGTTGTAGTGTCAAAACATGTGGGCCCCGTTTGTTATTCAGGATAATTTAATTTATGACATAACAAGTTGTACTGCGTTTGTTTGACTGAGGCAGAGACCGAAACTGATTTTACGGGGACTCAAAAAGACGGAACAAAGTGGGACATTGGACATTTACACACGAACTCTCTTTTGTGCAAAAAGACGTGAATATGCTTCCTAACTCTAGAAAGTTATTTATGTAACAAAAGGCAGCCATTATGTTTGAAGAAAGACTTACAAGAGTGTCATATTAGGCTCTAGCCACCATGTATACGAGTCAAAAATTAGCATGTCAGCATCAATCCATTGTTTGGCATGCCTTTCGATGCTCTCAATCTTCATGATTCGATCATGTACACGATGATGAACAGGATCATCGCAGTTTGATTCCACCAACAACGGTTCCCAATAAAAATCAATAGACGCATTGAATTCCTTTCATGTCAATCAGTCAAATAAAATTAGACAAATCAGGCCAAACACCCGTATGCATCATTTTGTTTCAAGTTTTTTATGAAAACAATTAAATAACTGAAAATTCATATATTTTTAAATATTAAGATCGAATATTTCAATAGTGACAAATGTCCATATAACTGTATAAGTACTCAACGTGTTAGAAGAAAGAGACCAGATCCCTTACAGATGCTCTGAAAGTAATCAATGAACCATGCCATTCTGCAACCTTATGAGAAGGTTCAGGGATCCATGAGTCAATAAGACAAAGGAGCGAAATCCAATGATTTTTTCCTAATGAGTCCCCAACAAAAACAGCCCTCTTGTCCCTTAGCTTCTCCAACAGTGCTGTTCCATTAAACCTACAAATTTATCCCTGAAATGGGTTAAACGTACAACCCTTGATGCACAAGGTACATTTTATATGCACTATGTACAACTCATTGATGCGTTGCCCCTTATATTGAAATATGGTTTTACACAACATATTACCAAAAACCAACAAAAGTTGTTGGTGTATAGGAACAGTTGTACCCTACTACCTAACAATGTATTATTGTGTTTAGAAATAACAAAAATGTGTTCGATGTATATGAAGTTGATGAAATGCACTTTTTTAAAATCATATGAGTTCCGATGCCAAAAAAGAAAAAAGGTGCAACAAGCCTATAAAAATTTACACATGTTAAGTTTTTAACAAGCCACACAAACACGTAGAATTTTTTTTTTTTTTTTTTTATGATTTAATCATTAAAACTTTTGATTTTATTTCCTAAATAAACCATCCTTAACAAGAAAAAAAAATGTTTCGATTGGTGTTGGTTATTCGATACCGAAAAAAAAACTTGCAATGGTTTTATTGGAAAACAAAACAATATATAGTATCGCAAAATTCTTGATGGGTTGTACGTATAGACTTGTACTCGTCCACTTCTGTGCAATTTTATCAGCTTTTGCAGTATGTTTGAGAACTCACATCACATGGCATATGAACTGTGTCATCTTTCTCGAGTTCCCAAACGCTTGATACAGAGAAATTACAATTCCCTCATGCATCCAGCCAACTTCTTGTAGGTGACCAATGCAATATGTATGAATGTTTATACGAGTTATAACAATACACAGTACAACTCGTAATGCATGTATGCCAACTTTCGTGAGAGAGAGAGAGAGAGGGAGAGAGGGAGGGAGAACCTGGGAAGGTCACAGCCATGGGGTTGCCATCTCCAGAACTGATACTCGGAATCTTTTCTTCCAAATTCCTGACAAGCATAATCATCCGCCATGAAAGAACACTCTTTCTCTCTGTACAATGGTCTCGATTTGTTATCATAAACCCAACTCCCGTTGAACAAATCACAACCTTCAAACGAATAATCATCCGCCATTTTTCGCTTCTCCAATAACATCAAACCTTATTCCACTATTATCTCCACAAAAGTAAACAACTCCCATGATTACTCCCATTACAAGCATGAACCCTATTGAACGATACCCATGAAACAATCTCTGTAGCTTTTCCATTCCCTTCTTGTTTTCTATAAATGTTTAGAACGATTACAGCCCTCTTATGTTCTTGGTATTCGAAACAAGAAACAGAGGAAAATAAAATTGTTGGGAGTGTCGTAGAGGAAAAGAAGAAATGAAGAATATTTGTTAATATTTTTGGTATTTAAATCACTTGGGTAGTTGATCTGTCTAAAAATAAGAATCCCACCTTTGACTATTTCATTATATATAAAGTAAATTACAAATTTGGTCCCTTTACTTTATAAAGAAATGACAAGATCAGTCCAAATTTTCATATCATCTCAATGTTGTCCCTTGATTCCTTGGTTTGAATTTAGTCTCTAATCCTAATAAACAACTCTCCTACAATCCACTTGTCAGACTCTTAAACTACAAACCTGCCACGTGGCATTACAAGAAACAATAACCAAAAACACTTTCCCGCCCATATACACATTCAGTCAATCTGTCAATTCAGCAATCCATATCCAAACCAAATTTAAAATTCAAAATTCCTTATTCAATATTGAAGATTGAAGATAACGATCCTGTATCCCTTAAATTCAGCATCCCAAATTGATGCTGATAAATTATCTTCCAATCTTCTGATTGAAATATTTCGTAAATAAATCCCTGAAAATCAGGTTCAAATTAAACGCATATGCATATATCAGTTTTATTCCACAGAGTATTATATTTCACAGAGTATTATATTTCACACATTCTTTGACGACATTCTCTGTGAGCTGTGATGACTTCCATGGAACAGGAAAAACTAAGCACAATCGATGATAATAATAAAAGGTTTGTGTTTCATTTCACAGAGTATTATATTTCACACATTCTTTAACATGTCTATATTTCACTGTCTATATTTCACAGTCTTTCTTTATGAATTATCTATAGTCAAGAACCTGACGTTTATGTTTACGCCTAATCATTTGAATTATTCAGAAAAACAGTTTTACAAAAATAGGGATTGTTTTGAATTGACAGAATATACACACTTCAATGTATTGCAACTCATTTATATCGTTTATTTAGCTATCATTAATTAACATGTCTATATTTCCCTGTCTATATTTCCATGTCTTTCTTTATGAATTATCTATACTCAAGAAACTGATGTTTATGTTTTTGACTCATCATTTTAATTTTTCGGAAAAACAATTTTACAAAAATTGGGATTGTTATGAATTGACATAATATACACACTTTAATGTTTTGAACACAATTATCTACACTAATATTCTTACTAAAATATTCATATTTTCATACAGTTTTTATGTAACGAATATTCATCTGTTACAAGTTTTTTCATAAGTTATTCATTTAAAAAAACTTTTCATAAGTACAATGCTTAAATATTCATCTGTTTTTATTCTATTTTACTCAAATTCTCATATTTTGGTAGAGCTTTTATGTCTTCATACAGTTTTTATATTTTTCTTCGATTTTACCATTTTGACCTTTTTCGAATATAATGTGTTTATTGATTGATCTTTGCTATATATGCATCTTTATGTGTTTATTGATTGATCTTTGCTATATATGCATCTTTATACTATTAGGGATAATTTCACTAATACTCTCTTGTAGTTACCAATTGTTTGGCATCAAACTTATAGAATGGATTCTGATATTTGCAGGGATATGTCTACAACAAATATCACTTTCATAGCTGACTTGGATGTAACAAGGGATTATTTGATTATCAAGGTTCGTGTTATAAACCATTGGAAGCAGAAGTCTTTCTACAACAAGAATGAAATATGGTTCATTGAATTAATCTTGGTCGATGAACAGGTATGTTATATATATCTTTACCTATGTGTTAAATATAAATATTTATGTTGTTTTAATGTTTAATGCTTATCATATATTGTGTTTTTAGGGGAGCAAAATACAAGCATCTGTCCCTAAAAAATTCCTCTATCGATTCAAAAATGTTTTAAAAGATGGGAAATCATATTACATCACATCTCCAAGCTTTGCAGCTCTGAAGGCTAATACTTTTAGGTTAATTCCCCAAGATCAAAAACTCACGTTTGTCCAGGAAACAGTTGTTAAAGAATGTACCCAATTTAGCGGGCCTAAATTTGGTTTTTCTTTTGTTGATTTTCAATATGTGCTGTCAATGGTTCATCCTCAAAATTTGTCACTCGGTAAGTTTATTTATTACATTTTTTACTTAATGAAATTTCAACTTTACAATATTTAATGTTTATATATGATATGATATGATGTTTCCATATTCTCAACACCACTTTATTCATATTTTTCTTATATTGTAGATGTTATTGGATTGGTTGTTGGTGTTGGTGAAATGGCAACAGAAAGCACTGATAAGTCCAAACACAAAATTCACATCCATATCCAGAATGAAAAGTATGTTTTTCAATATATTTATATTTAATACTTAAAAATTTTGATGTTTATATATAATTAACTTACTAACTGTTGCATTGTCAGTGGTTTGGAAATACGTTTGGTTTTGTGGGGTGATTATGCTTACCAGATGCAAAAGTATATACAAGACAATCCACAAAATCTTCAAATCATTGTTATACTTCAGTTTGCACAAATTAATGTTTGGAGAGGTATACTCAATTTCTCAGGAAAAATAAAATTTTATAATAAGTTAAACATTATTTATACATTTTTTTATAGACCGACAATTATATTTAAATAATATTTATAAATTTTTTTATAGATCGCCCAAGTGTCAACACCTACTATACATCCTCAAGATTGTTCATAAACTCTGACATAGATGAAATTTCTGTTTTCAAGAAAAGGTAATTTATGTCATATGGTGTGGTTTTTGTCATTACATCCTATGTTTCTAAAATTTTATGATTTGCATAAAAAAAACATGTTACAAAGGGATGATCGTCCTGATTCCTCTTCACATACTTTTTCACTTATTCCTGCTAACTTATTCCTGCTAACCAAGTTTCTGAATATGATGATTTCATGGTTAAAAATAAGCTGAAGACTATTTCTGAAGTTTGGGAGCCCGTGGAGGTATATGTGATGGTATATTTATTAATATACTTTTTTTGTTTTGCATAATTTTTTTTGACAAAGTTACTTTTTTATCCAGATATGTACATTCATTCTTGTGGGCACTATAAAAGGAATATTACAAAATGAAAAATGGTTCTATCAAGCGTGTACCAACTGCAGTAGCAAAGCAGTCCCTAACAATGATCAAGTAGATGGAACAGCTAAATCTTATGAATGTCATAACGGAGATTGCACAAAAACTACAACATCTGTGGTTCCAAGGTTCGTACTGTCCATAAAAATCTTTAAATAATATCTAATACCAAATATATATTAATATAATTTCTTAATTTCTTAGATATAAGATTTCAATCCGTGTTCAAGATAACACTGGCACTATCACCTTAACTCTGTTTGAAAGAGAAGGAAGGTATTTGTTGAAGAAATCAGCCAAAGAGTTTTTTAACAACGCAGCCAAGGTCATTTCAACTTATTATATAAAATGTTGTAAATTTTGTATTTGTTTTCACTTTAACATACATGTTTGATAATGTTGCATAACTGCAGAATGGAGACAATGTTGATTTGTATCCAGTGGAGATGAATGCATTGAAAGGGTTGAAATTTGCCTTTAAGATTTCTTCAAACAGATTCAATATGTCCAAAAAACCAACCAATATGGTATTGCTAGAATTACTGATGATGAGAGTTTAATTGAACAACTTGAAGATAAATTGAATTCTTCTCAAGTAAATACATTACATATGTTTTGTTTTATGTTATTTAGCTGACCATGAAGTATTTAATAAATAATTTATTTTGCTACTTATTTTCTTATACAGGCAGATAATTCACAGTCATTAGACTACAATTCATCTGATTTTCAATCTCATGACAACAAGACTTTAAAGGTACTATACATGTTAAAATATCGAATATAGTATAAAATTGTACTTCATTTTATAAAAGAATTTTATATAATTGTCTTTTTAGGATGCAATTTCTGCTACGGATGATAACATAACTCCCAACACTTTGGACAAAAACTCAGCAACGAGTCCATTGAAGATTTCAACAACAACACCAGTTTTAAAGAGAAATCTGCAAGAAGTTTTTGATTTGGAGTCTAATGAAAATTTTTCATCGTCAAGAACTCCAAAGACATCCCCAGCTGGTCCAAGAAAAGAATTGTTGAAGGTAAAGGTGGAAAAAGATGTGTGACTTAAGGTTTCGTGCTTAATTTCGAATGGTTCTTTGGAATGGATTTACATAATCATAGACTACTTTTTATTTTTCATTATGCTATTTTAACATCTTGGTTTTCAGTTTGAAAACTTTTGTTTCCCGGTGCTGGTTTTTTTTATGGTTTCTTTATTATACATTCATAAAACCTTCAAGATTCATGTTGCAGTCGTTTTTTATTACAATATGATTTGTTTGCTTATTCTTTCTAATATTTTATCTTATGACATCTATAAAATGTTTTACTTTACAGTATGCTGTAGGTAACACTACGACTGCATGTATGATGTTTGTGAATTCAATTTAAGGACATTAATTAAATTGCTAAAATGACTTCTAATTACGTTGAGAAACGGTGTAATAGAACATAAAATCCGTACTTATGTTGTATCTTACGCAAATAACAACAAAAAATTAGAAGGGATTCTTTATTATAACCAACACTGATTTTAAGATATATGATTTTGATCAGTATCTTATAAATTATAAATATTTGTTTATTTGAATCAATTAACATAATTTTACTTGATTTCCCATGTTTATGTTGTACGTTAGCTAAATAACATCCAAATTTACTTTATTTGATTATTATACCATCTTATTATTTGACAAACATAAAGGTCTTTAACTGTTAGTCAAAAAAATGATAAAAACTAACCAACACTGATTTTTCAATATATGATTCTTATCAATATCTTATAAATATTTGTTTATGTGAATCAATTAACAGAATTTTACTTCATTTTTATTTTAAACTACAATCCGTAAATATAGCGAAAAAAATCAGAAAAATAAAATGTTATAAAAAAATCGAAATTAGAGTGATTATATTATTTTAAAACTTCATTGATATTACTCAATCCATATTGAGTAAATGCCATATTCTATATTCCATACCGAAATTAATTAATGCTGATCAACTTTAATTATGTAAATCAAGATCAACTTGCCAAAATTACAGTTACCGATTTTCAATTATGTTGATATGGTTTATAATATGGTATCAAATTTCCAATTCAAATATATCGTGAATCACTAAAAAGCAGGTTCAAAATAAATACATACTCATATATTAATAACTAATAATTAATATTTAATTTAATAATTATTGATAATAATAATTAGTAATTAATAATTATCAGTTCCTAAAATTACTGATGATGACAGATTAGTTGAAGGTCTTTAATGAAAATTCGGTATTCCTTATATTCAGCAGCTGAAATTAATGCTTATCATTTTTACAATTCAAATATACCGTGATTCACTGAAAATCAGGTTCAAAAATACCGTGAATCATTGAATCACTCAAAATCAGTTCCTAAAATCGGTTTTAATAGAGCAGACTATTATACTTCAAAGAATCTTTGAAAACATTCCCTCTATTTTCTAATGACTTCCATCGAACAGGCAAAACAAACAACAGTCGAATATGATAACAACATAAGGTTTGTGCTTTATTTCGATTGCAACTCATTTAAATACTCTTTATATTTATCTTTAATTTACATGTCTATATTTCTCTGTATTCCTCTATGATTAATTTACAATCGACAAAATGATGTGTATGTTTCTTATTCATCATTTGAATGTTTCTGAAAAAATAAAAGTATTAAATAGATAGTGTCTTATATAAGTATGTTGTTATTTATTCGATTAAACACTATACATGATTTCATACTTTTATATCGTTTATTTATTTATGATTAATTTACATGTCTAATTTTCTCTAGGTTTCTGTATGATTGGAAGATAAAGTCAAAAAACAGTTTCATATATATTCCGTTTAATCCTCCATCCTTTCTGTTATTATTCATTGGTTTATGTTTTTATTCATGTGGTAAAGTATTTCATAGATACTCTCTGTTTAAAATAACTTTTTAGAATATTACCCAGCTATTTACTCATCTATTTTTGATTGATGGTAAAATTACACATCATTGATAGTATGGATCCTGTTTTATGTCTTTTACGAAATCCAAAACCATAAACTCCATCTACAATGCTTTTTTTCCCCTGTTTTTATTTGTTTTTTTAATGTTTTATTATTTCTATTTTTTATTAAATTTATACATTTTTTCCTTTTCACATATACTTTTCTTATGTAAAAATCTTATAACAGAAAGTTTACTTTTTAAACATTTTTTACTATAAGGGTGGATGATATGCTGCAAATAAATTATTCATTTGTTTATGTTCTAATTCATCTGGTAAAAGTTATTTCATAAATTGTCTTTTAAAATAATTTTTCAGGATTACCATGCAAATGTCTCTTTGCAGATCAATGGCTGAAGCAAATCCTACTTTAATTGCTGATGTACATGTTCTTAGGGATGATTAACATTCAAACTTCGTGTTATAAACTTGTGGAACCAGAATTCATTCAAAGACAAAAATGAAATTTACTCAATTGAGTTGATTTTAATAGATGAACAGGTAACCTTATAACTTAATAATATGTTTTCTATACACATTCAATATAAATACATATGTATTTATGTTTCTATTTCTCATCATTAACTATAATAATTTATTGTAAAACATCATTGTTTTTTGTTATAAAAATATACCAGAACATCATAAATACAATACTAACTATTTTTGAATTCAATTTCTAATGTATTACTTCCCAGATTAGCATCTTTGCAAACCAAAGTTTCTTGCCTAACCTAACACCAATCACATAAATACCCCAGGATATGATTATCAAAACTACTAATTTCCAATTTTTTAAAGGATGAAATGACTTAAAAATTAACAAATTGATCAGGAAGTTCGGCCAATACAAGAGCATGAGAAAATAACAAATATTGCATAAGATGGAAACTATCAACTTAATTAAATCCAATAATATCAAACCATAAAGTATCAATAAACATGATCAGGTAAACTACACCAGGGGAAAAACTCATGAAGGGACTACAAGTAAGGGTAAAAACGTCCAAACATTTATCTTACATCTCTATAAACTTTGTCCATTTTTATTTGGAATGTATATAACAAAAAAATTAACTTATTTACTTATAGTAATCAGATTAATAATTTGCACAAATTAAACCCTAATTTATAGCATATTTGAATTTTAAATTTCAAAGTATTATGCACACATATTGAATTTCAGAATTTCATTCAAATTCAAACTTACTTTGATTGTGTCACCGGTGTTGAGTGTCAACCTATTCGTCACTGCCACTCCATTTCTCGCTCAGAGCTTCAAACACATCTTTGCTGCAAAAAAATCCCAGGTAAAATTATCTTTTCAAGTAATGTGTTTTCTATTAAAGAATCTAACAATCAACAACGATCTATATAACTTCTTGCCTTTCATTTTATCCTCTTCAACCCATATTGTTTCGTACCTTCATTCGCCGACTTCTAAATTGCAGTATAACTTTCATTTCACTTCAAGATGGGTCTGTACCTGTATTATAGTATCTGCCTACATCTTTAGCAATTGACAGGTTTCCATACATTTCTGAGATCGATCGTTTTAAGATGCTTTGGAAATATAGATTTGGTTATACTGGAAAAGGGAGTCGTATTCGTTTCTATTACAAGAAAAGGGGGAAAATGGGGTTACTCAACACTGAGAAGTCTTTCTTTAGTATATTGAATATTGAATTGAATAATATAAATATAAATTAATTTTATTTTAAAATAAAAACAATATATATACATATACAAACACTTATACGAAGACATCAAATGATGTTTTTTTTTCTAATTTTATCTATTAATCGTATGTATCACCACTCACTCTTTGGTTAAATATAAATTAATAAATAACATTAATCTTTATATTTATATGTCATTTTTTATTAAATTGTGTTTTAAGATGACATTACATTTTACATTTAAATTGTAATTTAAATAAACATAAACTTTTTAAATTGCCATTTTATAGAATATGTTCAACAATTTAATAAATAAAGTTTAATTATATATCATTATACAATATTATTATTTACATATTTCATTATCATAACAAATTTTATTAGTATCTAATTTTCAAATTCAAGTTTATACAAATTAAATTACCTACAAATTGTATGTAACAATTATTAACATATGCTTAATTTTATTTTTAACTATATTTTTTTTTATTTATCGATCAAGAACATGGATGAAAATGACGCTACAGAGAGAAGAAAAAAGAGAAAGTTATATTTGGATAACAGAAAATCCAAAAAACACAATACTACATCATCGTGTCATCATACATATGCAGCACATACGATTCATTTTAGCCAATACGGTACTTTTCTTACTTTATTTTGCATTGATGATGATGATATGTTTGTTTCTTATATATTTTAAATATAAGATATAAGATTCATAATTTTTTATAAGTGAAATAAATACATTACGTTATATTTAAATTTATATCAAATAAAAATGTGTTTAAGTTATTTTATGCTATTTTACAGGTTCAAATAACAGTATCGAATCTACAAGCGCTAAAGAGAGGAGAAAAATTAGAAAGTTATATTTGGATAATAGAAAATCCAAAAGATTACATACCACATCAACCCATCAAAATTCATCTGTTACACATGTTTCTTACACGTCGAATAACGGTATATATATTTGTTTATTTTACAATTCTTTTGTAAATATAATATAAATATAAACTTTGCATACTCTTTAATTTATTTTATTTTTAATAATTAATATTTTTTATTCTTACTAACCATTTGTTTATTATATAACAGATATCTACAATCGTTGTCGTATTCAACCTCCTTCAACAAATAAATATGTTACAACACATTCATCAACAGTTTCAAATGGTATGCATTTCTATATACCAAAATTTTATAATATATGCTTCAAATTTATATAACCGATAACAATTCCTAATGTTCTAATCTTTATTTTCATTTTATCAGACAATTATATTTTCAACAATAACGTTCAAACACCGCTATCTATTTACAAAGATAATTCAGTGTTTCGCATTGGCAAGACATCCACCAATCCCTCGACAATAATTCATACTTCTCATTCATCAAATATAAATGTTATAACTCCCTTTTCTAACATTTCAAATGGTAAGCATTTCTAAATACACAAATTTATAAATATATGATTCACATCTATATTAATTATAACAACTATTGACTTTGTACTTTCTATCTTTATTTTTACAGGCAATTATATTTTCAATAATAACTTTCGAACACCACTATCTATTAACAAAGATAATTTGGTGTTTGGTAATGTCACGACATCCAGCAATCGTTCGACAATAATCCAAAATTCTTCATCAATCAAGTTACCAAGAGGAAAACATCATCTAAAAAGGAAGACTTCACATATATCCTCTATACCTGTTTTTGACTTGACATTAGATGAAGAAATTAATGATGATCATATTGTTCAAAATATTTTCCATGGTATATCAAAAGGTGATCATAATTCTAAATTATTTAATATTCAAAAAAATTTTAATTATTTTTTTAGTTATATATAATATATTTTTTTTGCATTGAATAGAATACTTAGATCATGGAGACAAAATTGTTACATGTAAGTTTTGTCATGCAAAATTATGGATAGATGAATAGCTTAGAGGGCAAAAAAAAGGCAATACATCTTATTCATTATGTTGTGGTTACGGCAAAGTTGAGCTACCACCCTTAAAAGAAGCACCGTCATCTTACCAAAATCTTTACAAATCGGTAGATTCAAAAAGCAAACACTTTATGAAGAACATTCGACGTTACAATTCAATGTTTTCATTTACATCGATGGGTGGAAAAGTTGATTCATCCATCAACAAAGGCAACGCACCATACATATTCAAACTTAGCGGTCAAAACTATCATAGTATGGGAAGTCTTTTACCTACACCTGGATCAAGACCAAAATTTTGTCAGTTATACGTATATGATACCGAAAATGAAATTTCAAACAGATCAACAAGTATTGGGTATATTTTTACAATTTCCTATTCTTTAATAAAGTAATTTATTTCTTTTAATTTTTTTATTAGCATTAAATAACTTTTATAATATTTTCGGTGGACCGACAAGCGCTTCTACATCAACTTCAATATCATATGATCTCCAGATTATCGAATATTTGAAGGTTATGTTAGATTCAAACAATATGTTGGTCAAGTCTTATAGGATGGTAAGAGACAGTCTTCACGAAAATCCTGGTGCTAATTTGAAGTTAAGATTAATCGGAAAAAGAGAACAAGATGGAAGGACATATAACTTACCAACTTCTTCGGAGGTAGCCGCTTTAATTGTTGGTGACATTTCTGATTCAGTTGAAAAAAGAGACATTGTTGTTCAAACCTCATCAGGATTACTTCAGCGTATCAGTGAATTACATCCTTCTTACCTTGCTCTTCAGTATCCATTACTATTTCCATATGGTGATGATGGTTACAGAGTTGACATCCTTCATAGAGGTATTACATCTTCAAGTAATAGCAAGCGCCCAACGTGTACAATGAGAGAATTTTTTGCTTACAGAATTCAAGATAGAGATCAATCGTTCTCACTACTTCTCAATGCAAAAAGGTTGTTCCAACAATTTTTGGTTGATGGTTATACAATGATTGAAAGTGAGAGATTATTTTTCATACGTAAGCAACAAAAAATTCTTAGATGTGAGTCTTATGAGAAATTGCGTAATCACCAAGCACTCGGGAGTACAGATATATCGAACGTCGGGCAACGTGTGATCTTACCTTCTTCATTTACCGGTGGTGCACGCTATATGATGCAAAACTATTTGGATGCCATGTTGCTTTGTAAATGGTTTGGATATCCTGATTTCTTCATAACCTTTACGTGTAATCCAAAATGGCCAGAAGTTCAAAGGTTTCTTAAGGACACTCCACTTCATCCAGAAGATAGACCGGATATATTATGTAGGTTATTTAAGATCAAGTTGGATGCATTTATTAAAGATTTAAGGGAAAATAAAATTTTCGACACGGTTCAAGCAGGTATTTAAATTTATAGTTTAATATATAAATATAAAATATTATCATTTATATTTTTCCTATAGTTATCTAAATTATGTTTTTTATTAGGTATGTATGTATACATACATACACCAACAATTTGTTTAATTGCTAAACATATCTACAAACACAAACTGTCGATTGGATATTCAAAACACTATACTTTCGTAATTTTAAAGAATCATTATATCATTATCAAATTACTTATGAAAAATATAATTTATTACGTATTAAAAATTATTTATAATTCCTTAATTAATATATACTATTTTAATTATATTTAATTTTTATTTTCTCTTCCGTGGTGTCCACGGGTTATAAACTAGTTGCTAATAAGACTCTCTATCCCATATAAAACGACTTTAAAATTTGGAATAGAATTCCAATTTTGAGTGAAAAACACAATGACTATACATGCCACGGAATAAAATTTTAAAAAAGTATTGTGATAATTTTAAAGTTTAAAATGGACGTGTATTTTTGTTTAATCATATAAACTGGACTTTGGCTTGCTACTATATTGATCGAGCTGCATCAGGAAGGTTTCAGGTTTTTTTTATCCATTGTCGTCATCTATGAAGACGGGGACTCATTGGACTTCGAGCTACACCAGGATGCGAAAATGCTACCCTCACCTCAATACTTGGGGATTCTAGTGGTTGAATTGGTTACAATGAAGAGGAACTTTAGATAATATGTAAGTCGTGTCCAACAACATCGTTCGCTACAAGTCCTAGTTGATAAATCATTGATATTGATAGTCTTATTGCATAAATGTTGTGAATCCAAATGATTCCAAACTCCCCAAGCAAGACTGTTTTTCGATTTGATATATGCTAATAGATTTTTTTATGTAAACTAATAAATTTACAATTGTTATTTTACTTTCTGGGTTTATGCCTTGATAAATATATATATTTCATTTATGCATGATTGTAGTCCATATTTATGTGTTACGGGTCATATTTGGGTTAGGATATTCTTGGATTATTTTCTAAAAATGAATGATTGTAACGGGTTAACATCATATTTGAATTTTGATCATTATCTCGTGGGTTTCAATTTGCTTTGGTTTTGGTGAGTTCATGGTGGCTAATGGCGTGATAAAGGAGGAGAGAGGTGGAAAAAAACAAGGGGTGTGACATTAATTGAACGAGGATGTTTTTTTTTTGAAACGGCGAACAATATTATTAATAAAAGCCTAAATAGTAGCAAGTATCTATGAGTGGGAGGAACAAAAAGAACCTGAGGAAACCAAGAACATTACAAAACGATACCCTCTTTATATAGAGCTATAAGATAAAAAAGGAGAACAACTCCTTGCTGGCCCAGCTTTCCACTCCATTGCCCCCATATTTATTCCATTCAAACGATTGAGTTATGATGAAATCCATAATTTTGGCTAGTTTAACTCCAATGTTTTTGAATATTTTATCATTCCTTGCAATCCAAATACACGTAGGGGATAAGATCATACATAGCTTATTCCTTTTATTGGGACAATTCCCCCACGATGTAGCATAGTCAATGAAATCTCTAAAATTCCCGAATTGCAGGTTTTTAAATCCCGCACCACCAGAAGATCCAATAACAAATAATCTTTGAAAGTTCACATCCGACCAGTAGGTGATTAGTAGTTTCATTTCATGTACCACATAATTGACAATTCCTGTTTTGGACAACTATACCCCTTTTAGTTAGTGCATTAACGACTGTATTCTATTCAAATCTACCCTCCAAATAAAGCATTTGAACTTTAAGGGAATAACTTTTGACCAACAAATCATGGGTCCCGAGTACTGATTAAGTTTTGAATCCACCAACCTCCTCAAGGTACTCACCAAATAAACTCCATTAGTGTTGAATTTAAATCGAAATCCAACTTTGGAGGGTGTACTGAAGTTAACGGAGCCTACAAGCTTATAAAATTCATGAAGTTCGAGAAGAGTCAACATTCATTGTTGTGGTTCTTCATTTCCATAAGAAAAAATAGTTGCAAAGTCTATCAATCAGTGTGCATCTCTTGATCGATTCAAGTTTATAGAGAAGTGGGAATCGGTCCTATAAGGATACATATCCACACCAAATATCCTTCAAAAAGAGAATTTTTACATTTGCTCTAGGTACAAGGGAAAATAGGCCATGTGTGTCAATATTATAGGACTTGAGGTTCATGACAACTTTAGAAATACTACTCTAAACTCTAGTTGCATTTTTCTTCACGAGGTAAAAAAGTTGTTTCTTTACCAAGATTGTGGATGCTATTGATGACTTCAGTCTAGATACATCATGTTTCATTCTTCAGTCTCCACCACCATTTCGTAAGTAGTTTAATTTTTTGAGCCTTTAGTGTAACTATGCCTATACCACCATCTTTTTTATCTACAACCACCTTAGTCCAGTCCACCAAATGCAATTTTCTTTTCTCATCCGTGCTACCCCACAAGAACATTCTTATAAGTTTTTCCAAGGCATCTGATACACCTTGTTGAGCTCTAAAAAAGGGGCATATAATAAGTAGGTATGCTTTCTAAAACTCACTTAATCAAAGTCAACCTACCCCTAAATAATATAGTACTTGTTTTCCAATTTGATAATTTTTCATGGAATTTGCTAATTACTGGTTTCCAATTATTCTCCAGTAACATATTGGCACCCATGGGTACCACAAAATAAGTAAAAGGAATGGAACTTTTAAGGCAGCCCAGAACTTGTGCCATACTTCGGAGATCAGAATCAGAGACATGGATACCAAACAAATGCGACTTCTTAAAGTTAACCTTGAGCCTTGAGGATATCTCAAATCTTTTAAGAATCTGAGTGTAACATCCGTAATCTAGAAGGTCAATTATGGAAATAAATTCCTTTTTTAGGGGCCAACTCGTCGAGTCTATGACATGAACTCGACGTGTTGGAAGCTTTTGGGGCGCGTGTTTTTAAGGACCGACTCGTCGAGTTGGTGAAGGGAACTCGACGAGTTGGATGCTGTTTGAGAAACCCTAATTTTTGGGTTTTGCACCCTATTTAAGAATCTTAAGTTCCAGGTGGTGGCCTCATTCCCAGTCTCCATAGCCCCTAACCCTAATCTCGAAACCCTAGAGTCTCCTTGAGTGTTGTGAGCTCATTGTGGGTGTGTTTTGGTGTGTTGGAAGCTCATTGAAGGGAAGAAAAGCTTGGTGCAAGGTGGTGGTGCAAGTAGGAGCTTTCAGATCTTGATTCTCTGTTTCATTTCCAGCACATCTTGGGTATAAAGTTCTAACCTTGCTTACTACTTGCTTAGATCTTTTATTTGGTTAAATTGCATGCTTTTAGCCATGGATGGGTGATTGTTGGGGAAGTAGAAGTCCCAAGTGCTTACTCTTTCAGATCTATGATCTTCATGAGTTCTTTTGGCATAAAGGTGCCAACTTTATGGTCTTAAGGGCTTCATGCATCTATTAAGCTCTTCTTTTAGTCTCTTATGAGCTTGTGAGCCTCTCCTAGCCATGCATGGGTGTAAAGTTGGAAGCTTTATGTGACCATGCAGCCTTAATGGACCAGATCTGTATTTTGGGGCTTTGTCTTGGTAGTTAAATGATTATTGATTAAGCCCTTAACTTTTTAAGCCTAGGGTTTGGGTTTTGAGCCCACTTGGTTGGTCCCTAAGGGTAAAGTTGGAAACTTTACCCTTCTAGACGCTATTTCAGTTAAGATCCGAGTGGGGAAGCTGTTAGTTTCGATTAAGTCAGCTTAATGGGTTAAGATGTTTGGTTCCTGATGAATTCGACGAGTTTTTGGGTGAACTCGGCGAGTTGGATCGGTTCTTCTCGATTTTTGCAGTCTGATGAAGGGAACTCGACGAGTTAAAGGGAAACTCGGCGAGTTGGGTCAACTTGGGTCGTTGACTTTGACTTTTGACTTATGTCTTTGATATAGTTTGTCCCAAGGGGGTGTTTGTGGTAATCTGAAGTGTATTCAAGGAAAATATGGGCTTAGGATAAGGCCTATATGGGATTGGGCCCAATTTGGAAAATTAGGCCATTAGTGGGCCTTTGTAGATCTTTTGGTGTTAGGTCTTATGGTTATTGGAATTGGGCCTTAGTTTTGGTTCATGTTGGGGTCAGGGCTAAAATGGTCATTTCACCCCAAGTATGGATGGTGGGCCTTAGAATGGAACCCAATTGCTAATTGGGTGTTATTTTGATCTGTTATATCGGAGGTGTCATCAGGACAACAACTAGGGATTTCTTTCAGTAAGCTTCAACATTCGAGGTGAGTCTCCTCACCATATCAATGGGTCGAAGGCACCAAGGTCGGCCCATGTTATTTAGCTGTAGTGGTTATTTGCGAATGTGCTGTCAATGTGCTATGTATTTATATGAAGACCATGTGGGGGTTCCCATGGCAATTAGATAAGACCATGTGGGGGTTCCCATGGCAATTAGTCAAGACCATGTGGGGGTTCCCATGACAGTTAGTTAAGACCATGTGGGGGCTCCCATGGCACTCAAAATAAGACCAGGGAAGGTTTCCATGGAATCCTTATATATATTTGCATGCTTGACTTATGTGGACTTATGTTGTTTCATGTGTAGTATGTTATGGGTAACTCACTAAGCTTTGTGCTTACGGTTTTCAGTTTTGTTTCAGGTACTCCGGTTTTCAAATGAAAGAGCTCGGGACGATCGCAGCGCATACACCCGTGATTTCCGCAATATGCGATTTTTGGATTTTTGGACTCTGATAATTGTATTATTTGAAATGATTTTCAATGTTTTGAATAAAGTTACAATAGTGTTTTGATTATAATAAATTGGATTTTTTATGATACCCATATCCCAAATACCCAAGAATATGGCATCATCCGCGTATAACATATGCGAGATAGTTGGACCATTGTGTGGGAGTTTTACCCCTTGGATGAGAGACATTGATGCGTGTATGGAGGGATTGATTTCAATCATTTAGAATGTAGCAGAATAACTAAGATTAAAACCAAGAACACGAGAAT